AAAAAGTTGTGAAATAAACGAAAAGGATGAAACAGTGGAGATATTTAGCCAGACACACCTGTCGCCATATCGGCAAGCTCCGGTTTTCCAAAAGAAGCCACAGAGCTCCGGGGTTTTTGCAAGTTGGCCGGAATTTGGGGTCTGGGCAGCAGATGTGGCCACCCGAGGCGGTTCAGGTCTGTGGAATTTGGGTAGAGAGCCCGGGTCGGAGACCTAGCAAAAACATTGTCGGTGCCAAAATAAAAACAACTTACCTCTTCTATGCCCTGCTTCAGCCGACGAAAGAGCTCCTCCTGCAAAAACAAAAACAACGGTATCACTCAAAGCCAATAAAAAACTGTCAGTTTAACAATAGTGTTTACAGGCGCCACGTTGGCGGCAGACTCAGCTTTGCAGGCAGTGGAGCGGCCATGCCGCAAATCTTCCATGACTAGCTAGCTAGCTGTTTGACTACTGGTGTGGGAGCAAACAAATACGTATCGACTAATATTCGAGCAATAGGTAGAAACAATGGTTAATCGCGACATAGGTCAAATGTAACCGAACAAACAGACTTTGGAACCACCCGGTTGTCCGCCCTGAAGACTCTCTCGCTGCCTCAGTGCAGCAAAAAAAGCAACCGGGGTTCTGGTAGCCATCAAGAGAACATTCATAGGTTAAGATAAGGAGTTATTTGGAAACGTATGCAGAAGCTTTATCCGCTTGCAACTAGAATATGAAACCCAGGGGGGGGGGGCGACAGTGGCTGAAAAAAAAACTGGAAAGGGCTCAAAGATTGACAACGAAAATCGTACCTTCACCTATGAATGCAGATTTGATGCACTGAACCTATTTCCCTTTGAGTATAGACAGATCCGAGGAGATCTCATACAGATCTATTGGCTTGTGAGGAGCGGGTACTGCGCCCTGCACTTCGACCAATTCCCCACAGTGGCCACAATAAATAACGTAAGTGGGGATTCTCTCAGACTCCCAGGAAGCTTATTCCATCTGGATGTTCGTCGCCGTTCGTCATTACAGGGAGTTGTCGGCACCTGAATCGGACTGTAAGAGTCTGCCACCCAGCGCAGCTGCGAATGACTCATCCTGCCTTCGCTCTGCCAGGCCTTTCTCCCACGATCCGCGCGCTATCAGCCTTTCTCACGCTATCGATCAACTCGTTGTTTGATAAGCGCATAAGCTCCAAGGCAATCGATACTCCCGCCTCATTTGATTGGCTGCAGACCGCAGAATACTCATCGCGCGAGCAAAGCTACACAACAACACGGACACAACTGGCGTGCGAACATAGCTGGCAGCTGGCTCACCAAACAGCTTTTGCACAGTTCATCTTCTTGCAGTAAAGCTGTTCCTACGAATCATCTATGGCCTTCTCGTGTGAGGAAAGCAATAAATGCCCAGCAATGTTGGATAAGTTTGATGCAAGCTTATGTGAACTTAATTTTCTCTAGATATAACTTAAAACAGGCAGAGACGTCTAATGGTTTTGAAAACACTCGAAACTGGAGACTGCAGTTGCGGGTGAGGGGAGTTATGATTGCCGTGTGTCCAACGCCAGGGGCGGATCCCAATGTCGACATGAGATTAACCCTAAGCACTAGAGTTATTAACGAGATGTTAGCTGGAGTGAGTAACAAAACATATTCCAGTCATAAAATGTTACTTAGAGATTTACAGTAGGCAGGAAGATGTACATTACAATTACTCCAAAGGAGAAGGTAGACAAGTTCAAAATCAAATATTAAAATGAACAGCTTACGGTGCAGGATTTAGGTAGCACAAGAGACCACTGAACTGAGTGGATCGGCGTCTTGCCCCGAGGGTCTCATAACAGAGGCTACCTGCATCTAGTTATTAGTTAAGAAAAGTAAACCTCGCCAACACAGTTTTCCTTTCTGAAAATGTTTGGAATGCTCTTCGGTTAACGAGGCTGTTGAAGACTACGATGCCTGAGAATACCAATGAACTGAATACCGGCTATTCTGATAGTGAAGTGGGAAGCTTTCTTTAAAATGGCATCAAAAAGAAATCTCAGAGGTCATGACTACCAGCTGAAAAGGGAGACGTGCCGCACAAATCAAA